GAGAGAGAGAGAAAGAGAGAGAGATGGACGAAAAGATAATTGATAGGAAAGAAGGAGCCAACCGCAAACCACCCACACGCATGTAGAGAGAGGTCTTTTCGTTAACAGGTCTAAGCAAGAGATTTATGACTGAAGATTTGCTGCAGCGTGGAAAAGAAATTTCAAACGGATAACATTTTCTTCAAGTAAAACCTGTCTTTGTCATTTTTTAGAATGAAATGTACAAATACTACTTATAAATTTTATGTATCTATCCGTGTCCATAGGGTTTAATTCCGAGAATCAACTCATTTTGTCAGCGCATCTCACAAATAGTATAAACTTATTTATTACGTCCTTGAACCACTCACGCGATAGCAGCCACCGACCACCCACACGAGAGCAGCCACCGACCACCCACACGATAGAAACCCTCCAACACGAGAGCACCCTCCGACCACCCACCTTTTGCCCAGTCTGGGTAGTGTTTGGCGATGTAGGCCAGCGCATACAGGTAGTAACCCAGGTGGAAATGATGGTCGTTGTAGTAGGGGAAGCCGTAGTCCACGCCCCAATCCACGGTCTGGGAGCTGGTGGCCCGGAGGTACAGCCCGCCCCACACTGTGTCGTAGTGGAACTTCCACATGTTGTCAAGGCTGTCTGGTACAAGGAAAATCAATCAATCAATCAACCAATCAATCACTCAATCAAAATCAATTAATCGATCAATCAATCAATCAATCAATCAATCAATCAATCAATCAATCAATCAATCAATCAATCAATCAAGGAATTAATCAATCAATCAATCAACCGATCAAAGGAAAAAAAAAGAAAAAGATAGAAATGAAGAAAGGAAGAAAAAAAAAGAAAAATATAAAGGTAGATATCCGGGTGTTTTTACGTCACAATTGACCGAACTTAAATAATAATTCACAATCCGGTGTTTCGACTCTGCCTCTTGTTAGGCCCAGTCCGGGCTGAGAGGGATGCACCATCCCAGCAAGGTAAGTCTTCAGTTTCCAAGAACACTCAAGCTTTAGACGTCACCAAACTTTGGCGTCCACTATCTCCCTAATTTGTTACCCTGGCACCCGGAACCCCCCCCCCCAACCTCCCCCACCTCCCCTTCAGTCCCTGACGTCTGGACTTGTATGTAATTATTTCTAGTAGGGGAAGCTGTAGTCCAGGCCCCAATCCACGGTCTGGGAGCTGGTGGCCCGGAGGTACAGCCCGCCCCACACCGTGTCGTAGTGGAACTTCCACATGTTGTCAAGGCTGTCTGGTACATTGAACATAAATAAATAAATAGATAAATAGATAAATCAATAAAAACATAAATAAATGAATACATTATACATTAGTTTTGGTTTAAGTAAGGTTTTACACGGCGCTCTCAACTGCATACTAAGGTCATATGAGAGCCAAGGGGTGAATGTCAACAGAGAAGTCCAAACGGGGATCGGGCTTACTCTGCTCACCTCTCTAGCCTCAACAGCACAAAGTCTGCTTCGATTATCAAGGCAACCCGGTAATAATAGTTCACAAGAGAGTGACAAACATACAAAAGAAGTAGAGGAGTAATGATGATAGTAAGGATGAGGAAAGAAAAAGCAGCATTTCCCCTATGTTGTTCCGGCACAGTATGAGCATGGCATTGATAAATCATCCCAGTTACAATTCTATTGTGCATAAGAACACATTAATATATTATGGCTATCATCACTATCAAGAGCCAGATCGGCGGCAGACATCGGCGATCATGGTTCTCCATTTATTCCTTTGCTCGGATGCTCTTAAAAAAGCTACGTTACCCTTCTCTTTCCCCCTTACCCGTCTGTTTAGTTTCTCTAAGCAGGTTGCTCTGGGCCTACTTCTGCCTCGATTGCCTTCAATTTCGCTAGTGAGAGCTAGATGTTCAAGACCTTTCTGTTTATTCAGGTTTCCCAAAAATAGACATAAAGGTCTTGAACACGCTATAACACGCTTTGTTTTTCCTGTTATCACAGAGAAATTCCTGAACTTACTACACCCGTCGACCTTGAGCTCTCAGCCATTCTCTCCAAACTCTCTCAAGTTGATAGACTTTTCAGTTTTTGGATAATAATAATAATAATGATACAAGTAAGAACATGTTTCTGTTTCCAAAGAAAAAACTTTTACTGTAAGAACATGTTTCTGTTTCCAAAGAAAAAACTTTTACTGTAAGAACATGTTTCTGTTTCCAAAGAAAAAACTTTTACTCTCTACCAACCTTGATCCCTGAGCTATTTCTCCAAACAGTAAGAAGCGTTTTCATTCCTGGAGATTTTAATACAGATCTATGATTATATCACACATTTATTTTCTGTTTTTAAAGAGAAACAACTCAAGCTTACCGACTTTGAGCCAAGAGCTATTTCTCCAAATAGTCGTTTGTTGACAAGGCTGTTAGGGCTGGGCAATGAGTCGTTTTAGCAAAAATCCGGATAACATGTTAGTGCACCTCTTCGGCTAATAATATGATATGAACCGCTTCGGCAAATAGGTTAGAACCACTTCAACAACCGGGTTAGCACTCCTTCAACAAATGGATGCACCCTCTTCGGCAAACGGGTCAGGCAAGCGAGTTCAATAGTCTGAATTCGGATAACGTTTCATTGAGAATTATCCGGTTATCCCTATAGGTTATCCGGATTTTGCCCACCTCAAAAGGCTGCTAGTTTTTGGATATAGTGATACAAGTCCTAGTGTCTGGCTGTAAAAAAACACTTTTTTGTTTTGTTTTCAAAGAGATACGTTTCCTCTCCACCGACCTTGAACCCGGAGCCATTTCTCCAAACAGTTCTTGATGGAGTGCTTTTTCCCTGATATTATAATACTTGTCTATGATTGTAACACGATTATTTTCTGTTTCAAAGAAAAAGTCCCGAACTCATTACATCTACCAACCTTGTACCCGGAGCCATTTCTTCAGTCATTGTCCAAGACAGTTTCTTAATTCTAGGGTTTTTAAATACTGGTCTATGGTTAAAGTACACATGTATTTTCTTTTTCTCAAAAAGAAACATTTGAATTCACAACATCTACCGACCTTGAACCCGGAGCCATTTCTCCAAACAGTTCTTGATGGAGGTGTCGGTCTTGTGGTGGTGGTCAGTGCCGAAGGCGCGCGAGATGCTGGCCAGTCGAGTGGACATGCCCAGCGCTTTCCCGCCGTTGTAGCTGTCTGTGTGGGCGCAGTAGGAGT